GCATTCCAAGTCAATCTTCTACAGTAAAATATATACATAACATTGCTTTTTATTCATACAACAAAAACTATTTTACTATAAACTAACAAGTTTTAATGATAAATGTGATTATGTATTATAGTTTAAAAACCGATAATGTATTATTAAATAATTAGTGGCTAAACATCTTAAATAATGAGTTCATCGTGGTTTTATTCTTAGCAATTTGGGTTTACATATTATTTACTTCAAATGCAATTTAAACAAAAAAATCTGTTACTGTAAAATATTCTATGACTGCATTCTTCTGCTTAATGCAGGTAGCCTTTGTCTACTCTACTAGTTCTTTAGCAATATTTGGGAAATTGATTTCTGTGGAATTATTCTTAAAACAGAATATTCACAAAATAAATAACACAATTTTTATAAAGTTATAATAATCATATCAATGTAATACATATTATGATGCTAGAAAATTTACTCTCCTAATTATAATGGTAGAAACAACCCATACATGACTCTCATCACATTGAGATAATTGCATCGAGTGGTGACTGAAGTCACTTCCAAAGGGCAAAGAACTAAATATACTATATAGCAAAAATAAAGTAGCTGACTAAATTTGGTTGCTTATTAAGAGTTTGTATGCATCTCACTAGATTATTGCAGTTCTAATTTAAGAAAACTAATTTAGTGATATGAATAAATATATTCATTAAATTTGTATATAAATATGTTCCCCATAATAGATATAATGAAAAAAATCTGAAATAAGGATATGTTTATCCGCAAAAATTAGTTATAATTTTAATGTAAAAGTAGTTAAGAACTATATAAGTAGGAATAATTTTAACAAAACGTTTTTGAAATTTCATACAGAAATTTAAATTAAAATTGTGCTGAAAGCATCAATTTCCACCCTAGATACATGAATTTTTTCTACATAAAAAAACACATTTCAAAATTAGATATCTCATCTAAACTAAATTATTAAAAGGATTTTAATGTATAAAAATGAACAATTTATATATTTTTAATATTTTTTGGTATTAAAGCTTAATATAGAATAAAAAAGCAATACACTAAAATATCTATGCATCAGCATATCTTATTGCCATTGAAGAAGGAAATTCATTATTAAAATTTGAATAAACATGTATACACAAGACTAATATAATTGTCTTAAAAATGGAATGAAATAAACAATAATGATAAATGTTGCAAGAGTGCATTTTAAGCGTTTAAATGAATTAAGATGGATGCCATTGATTTGTAACTGTTTTATTGTCAGCAACAGCACATATACTGCCAATTTAAATCTACAATAGCTAAATGATATATATATATGTGTGTGTGTGTGTGTAAAAATCAGGTAAAACTAAACACTAACTTAAATTTTCAATAGTCCCTTAATTCTCTTTAATTTGGTTACCTTCCTTTTCCGTCCTAAAAATAGTAACTGCTTATAATTAGCATCATTTTAAAATTAGTCTATCTCACATGATTTTTACATATTGCCAATGAGGCACATTTACATAACGCTTCAGCCTGTAAAAATTACAGGCTTTCCCAACAGACTCAGATATCCTGCCATAATTTAAAAGTTGATAATGTAGTGAAGAATGTGATTACAGAATGACAGATCGTGATGCATAGAGATGGTGCAGCAATCATTGCCAGTTTAACATTTCTTTATTTTCAGAGATAATTTTTTTTTTTTTTTTTTGGCAACAAAACAGATAAATTAGTGCAGTAAACATGCCTCTTCTTAAAGAACTACACTAACATCTTTAAGATATTTGTAATATATTTGAAGAGAGAAGGAGCAGCAGATGTTAGCATGTTGGCAATAGAAAGGTCAGAGAGAGAGAGAATGTGATGTGTCCAAGATGAAAGCTTGGTTCAGAATGGATTTGTTTTAGTTAAGCTTTGTTTTGTTAATTTTCATTTCCAAATTTGAAATTATTATTGGCTAAAGCATTATGCAAGTATCTGCATCATACAACAATCATAAACACGGATTAATTCTGAAATGATGCAATTTACAGCAGTAAGTAGTTACTATTTTTAGCACAGAAAAGACAAATAACCAAGTTTAAAAGAGTTAAAACTATTGGAGATTGAAGTTTGTATTTTATTTTACCTGCTTTTTTTAATCTTACGAGAGGTATAATACATCTGCTGAGGCTACTAACACACCTGACCATGGCTGAGGATCTCATACTATTTATCCCTGTAGCTGTTGCTGTTCCCCAAGATATGCCCAGAAACTTCCACAATGCTTTCTGTTCCACATGCAAATAATATTAGGCATGTATAACTTATGTGAACATCTTATATGACCTATGTACATTTTGCAAATGATTAACTGTTAATAATAAAATGCATTTTGCTTACTTGTGTGCTCTTTTATTTCTCTTGTCTATGTTCATTAGCACCTGATGATGCCATATCTGAAATTGCATAGTTATATGATTCCAATCTGTCCCTGAGCAATTTACATGTCGTAGAAGTTTCTATAAGCTGTACTGAAACATGTTATATAAATTAACATGCATTACAACCTCTAGTCTAATATTAATCTGTCTCCTCAATGCATTTCTAACAAAAACTTTGCCTTAAATTTATAATTATTTACTACATATAATTTAATAGCATATATGTTTTAATAAAGTATCTATACAGTGTCCAGTCTGCCAATGCATCAGCTATCGCTCCACCAGTGGGTAATAAGAAGCTCTAAGGAATCATTGCTGGTCTGAGAAATAGTACAGAGGTATTCAGGAACAATGATTGATATGAACACGATTAAAAAATTTGGTTCCATGAACACTTTTTGAAGGGGGGTGAACTTAAACATTCACTTGGTAATGCAAATACTGCAATCATGCATCATTATCAAATAAGTCGCATCACATTACGTCATAGGACTCTTGACACATACTGATACAAATTCTATTTATTAATCTTTTACATGCATCATTATCAAATAAGTCACATCACATTATGTCCCAGGACTCCTGACACATACTGATACAAATTCTATTTATTAATCTTTTATTCCAAGAAAACATACAAAATAGGATTACAACTTGTTAATTTAAAGCAGGGATGCCCAACCCCTAGCTCATGAGCCATATCTCGTTCACAGCAATTTTTTATGTGGCTCAATTTATCAATTTGGGCATGAAAGGTCTAAAAAATTATTTTCTGTATAAAATACAATACCACTGTTAATGGCCATGGTTGTTCAGATATTTCTTTAGTTTAAAAAGTTATATGTATAGAATGAAAATACATCAATTGTACATATTAATTTGGTTGATTATTTGCATAGTTTTTAATTTTATTAAACTGTTATGCCACTGACCAGGAATATTTTCATTCAAAATGATATCACCCAAAGTGCTCTTCATGATGTGCGGATGCCGGTTTGTTTATGCATGACATTAAAAAGATTGTTCTATTTATGTTAGCCATTATTCTACATTAGCAATTACTTTATAGTTAAAATAATCATGTCGGCACAGGAACCAGAGGAAAAGAAAAAAATGTGTATACAACTATAAGTTTCATGAAGAATAGGAAGAGAAATATTTTTCATACATTTTAAAAACAAATGTATTTGATTTGTTGTTCAAAAGTTACTGTTGGGAAAATGCAACATAGAACGAAATTTCACAACAGTTCATAAATAATACAATACTGAATATCCTTTTAACAGCAATTTAAGGAAATATAAATGAAAAGAAATGAAAACCACTTAATTGCACAACAATACTTTGTTTACCAGACCAGTGAATACATGAAAAGCTGCTATTATGTACTGCACCATTTAACCCTTTCGGCCCCACCGGGACATATATGTCCCGCAAATGTTTCCAAATCACCCAATGGGAAAAACAAGCGTAAAATTTATTGCCGCGAGTGTCCCACTGGTTTCCTGTGATTACATCTACCTTTTAGTGTAATTTTTTCTCGATAGATGACACTAGTGCCCTGTGAGCTCTTTGTTTTATCGTAACAGTTTTGACAAGCGGGAAAGTTTGGACATTCTGGCAGCCATTTTAGGCGAAGATACATGAGTGGACACACGTGCTGTTTCGTTGTATATGATTTTCGTCTATTTTTTGCCATATCAAGCAGTTTATTGAAGTAAGTGAATTTTCATTGTAGATTTTGAAAAAAAAATAATATTATGGGACATATATGTCCCAATGGTCTGTTTTATTGGGACATTATTGTCCCAGTGGTTATTGAAATATATCTATGCCTCATTCTCAAAGTGGTCATTTCTGTATTTTTAGGCATAGCAATATCATGAATCGCAGGAAGGGATTGACAAAGGAAGAAATAATTAAATTATTGAATGAACCGGATTCAAGTGATGAACTGGACGATTCAGATATAGACAAGGAATATGTCCCTAGTTCCTCAGACAGTGATAGCTGTGAAGAATTGTGAGAAAGTTCAGGAACATCAAGGGCACCGAAACGAAAGCTGTCATGTCTTGAGCATTCATCAGAACCCTCCGTTGACTCGGACTCTGATGATTTCTCACCCGATGAAGCGGAGCAGGTATCAAAATATAAGTGCAAGGCAAAAAATAAACATAAAAAAAACTATTTCAAAACCTACTGATCCTGTCATTTGGTCAAATGTTGGTCCAAATTTTGAGCCACGGCTCCATGTATCTAAAGACCGTCCAACTGCAATACTGGCCAAAATCAACAGATCCTCTAATGAATTAGAATGTTTCTCATGTGTATTTCCACGAAGTCCTTCTTATTTTTATTTCTCAATGTACAAACCAGCGCCTTGAAAATACTGAGACATGAAAAAAAAAGTATATATTCCTGACACAGACCCTTCAGAAATTATGCTTGTGTTGGGAGTTATGCTTGTCATGTCGTATAATCAAGTACCGAACTTTTCAGATTATTGGTCCAGCAATTCTTCATTGGGAAACGAAGCTATCAAAAATGCGATTTCCCGTAACATGCCTATTGCTCTTTGCAAAAATGTACTTCAATGATCCAGAAAAAGATGCGAATGCTCCAAAGACATATTATATGGATGAAGTGGTGGCATGTTTCAAAAGGACATTTATGCAAGCTCGCGAAGATAGTCCCTTTCAAAGCATCGATGAATTCATGGCTAAATTCAAAGGTCGTTCTAGCCTAAAGCAGTATTTACCCCTAAAGCCAATAAAACGGGGAATCAAAGTGTGGGAGAGATGTGATGCTGCTACGGGCTACACCTATTACTTCAATATATATTCTGGCAAAGACATGGATAATACAGATCATGAGGGTACAATACTTGGAGAAAGAGTTGTTCTAAAACTTTCCTCAACAATACGTAACCCAGATGTTACACTTACATTTGATAGATTTTTTACAAGTGTAAACTTATTGGATAACATATCCTTTCCTTCTGTTGGTACTTGTATTTCTCGTAGAAAAGACATGCCAAAATTCTCTGACGAAAAACTTCAAAAAGGTGATTCAGAATTTCTCCAGAATAGAAGAGGAACTCTTGCAGCAAGATGGCAAGATTCAAAGGAAGTTCTGATTCTGAGTAATTGCCACGGACCTGATGTCATACAAGTAAAACGCAAGCAGAAAGATGGAGAAAAAGTAATGACAAATTGTCCTACCGCTATTGCCAACTATAACAGATTTATGGGAGGAGTAGATTTGTCTGATCAAAAGATATGCCTATATGATTTTGACAGAAGATCTACAAAATGGTGGAAAAAAGTATTTTATAAACTTTTGATGACAGCTGTTGTGAATGCACACATATTGTTTCAAGAAACCAAACATAGGAAAATACCTCTCTTGCAATACATTGTCCCCCTAGCCGAATTAATGATTGCTCATGGCAAAGAAAATGCAATTGTCAAGAGGAAGAAATCAGGTCGACCGTCAAATGCAACAAAACTGATGTTGAATGTTGGAGATCATTTGCCATTAGAAGGGCCAACAAGAAGAAGATGTGCCCGCTGTGCCAAACAAAATAAAGAAAACCGAACAAAAACTGTTTGCGCCATGTGTAAAATTGCACTATGTAAAAACTGTTTTGCAATGTACCATACATAGAAATTTCATAAATAATGTTGTGTAGGTAGGTGTTTTCTGATAAAACTGTTTCAAAAGTATTGTGAAATTCATTTAGAACTAGAAAACTGAACTTTTCACTATGTTTATATTGTCACTTCAACCCCAATGGGACACATGTGTCCCAACTAAAAAGACCAGTGGGACACATATGTCCCACCTCCAAAATGGCCCTTACAGTAAATTTTTGCTTATAATTGGGCAGAATATTGCTATTTCTACTTTATTTTACCTAATAAACCCCTAATTTATCTTTTTTTTTAAAAAGAAAAAACTGGTTGTGAAAGGGTTAAGATTCACATATATTTGCAATACACACACACACACACACACACAAAAAAAAAAAAAAAAAAATTCAGGATGGTGAAATAAAGAATCAATGCTTGTTGCATTAGAGATATTATTTCGAGGATTTAAAAATAAGAATGAAATTATGTTAGCTATCCAGGAATTTAGTATCACGTAGATAGAAGTTATGTCTGTGAATATCACTGAACAATTAAAAGATGATTAACAAAAATGTATTTTTCAAAATTTACAATGTGATAAATCAACACATATCTGTAATGTAGCACAAATAAATGTTTTTAAAAGGATGGTTTTCAACGATTGCTCAACAAAGGAAGATATACTGTCAGCTTTGCAATTAAAAGGAAATACATGTGGGTAAGACATACACCAAGTTATTAAAAATTATAAAACTTGTATCCTTAACAACAGATGGCACACTTAGCATGATTGGTTCTGCTGTTGGCTTCATCACATTTTGCAAAAATTAAGCTGAGTTTCCAATTTATTTTTTCACTACCACTGTATCATATATCAACAGGTATTATGTGCAAAAGTCCTGCATTATGAATACATAATGAGAGTTGTTCTAAAAATTGTCAATTCTTATTCACACCAGACCACTTCAGCACAGATTATTAAAAAAACTGACTGATGAACTTTATGTTGAACATGGAACTTTAATGTTACATTCTGAAATTAGGTGGCTTAGTAAAGGAAAAGTCTTGCAATGATTTTTAGAGCTTCATCCAGAGATAAAACAGTTTGTACACATGGAGTCTAGAAATGAAAAATATGTAGAACTTAGTGATCATAGCTGGTTATGTGATTTAGCCTTTCTTACAGACATAACAACCAAAATGAATATATTCAATCTTGAACTTCAGGGAAAAGGAAAAACTCTTATTGGGTTAATAGCAAGTATCAATGCATTTAAATTAAATTTGTGGATGACCCAAATAAAGGGATGTAACTTTGGGCATTTTACAAATTTGGAGTACCACGTTAATAAATATGAGAAAATTGAAACAAATAAATATTTTGAATCTCTCATTGAGCTCAAACATAATTTTGAAATTAAGAGTTCCTTATTTTCGTAAAATTGAGCCATTTGCATTATTCAATTTATATCCATTTATTATTAATATTTCTGAAATATCACAAATTGCAAAGGTGATAAATAAAAAAGCTACTAACTTAGACATGGAAATACAGATTTTCAAATGAAAACCAGAATATCACAAACAGATTTTTGGATACTTGTAGATGAGAAAAAATATCTAGTCTTAAAAGAAATTTTCCAAAAGTTACACTCCTGCTTTCGATCAACTTACTAGGAAACAACTAGGACAACTACGAAAATGGTTTTTCAACAATGAACTTGTTAAAATCAAAGTTGAGATCCAGGATAATTAATGAAAATCTGAATGCCTGCATGAATTTAGCTATAACATTGTATGTAACAGAGTACAAAAAACTGGTAGGGAAAAAAATGCAGTGTCAGGTTTCACAAATATTTTTCTTATATTTAATTTGTAATTGAATTCTTAATAAACAATGCATTTTCTTTGATACAATTGATGATTACAATTTTTTGAGTATTACCTTTTTACCTATACATTAAATCAAACTATTAAAAGCATATATATAAATATATATATATATATAATTATTATTATATGGCTCCCCCCAAAATTTTAAATACTTAATTGGCTCAAGACAGGTTTAAGGTTGGGCTCCACTGATCTAAAATTTAAAAAACAAAACTATTATTTGCACTTGTACTGGTCCGTATGCAAAAGCAGTATGCTGATTACAATTTCAGTAAACAAGCAATGGAATGATACTATTACTGGTCTGGTTCCAACTTTTATGACTCTTAACTAACTTTCTGATCACAAATGAGTTCAGTTGCAACCAAAATACATGACAAAATGGGCACAAAGTGGAATTTTTCTTAATAGAAAAGCAGTCAAGCTAAGCTTATCCTTGGAAGTATTAGTCCTATACATCAAAGAAGGGGGAAAATTCCAGAAATTAACAGATATTACTGAATATAGATGACACCACAGGTAATGCATTCTGCATAATGAGAAATGAATTTATTGTCATCATGGCATTCTTCATTTTACCTTTTGGTAATAATTGCTAAAATGACACCAAAATGGAAAGAGCTTGTACTTGATAAGTTGTTTTTCATAAAAATCAATATTATTTTTAAACAAAAATGATTATACCTCGAAATAACACTAAAAAATCAGCATTCAATTATATTATATCATAACTATTTAAAAAATTTTTGCCAACTCTCGTATTATATTTATGCATTGGAAAAATATTTTTTCAGCAATATCTATTAATCATAAAATCAAGTTCTTTGTAGGACAAACACTTCCCTTTTACTAGAACGTACAGCATTTCTACAAAACCTTCTGGAATCAAAAATGCTGATAGAGAAAATTAACATTAATTTAAAATATTTACCATTAATTCATCCAAGATATAATCTGCAAAATCTTATCAAAAATACTTATTAAACACAAATAATAAAAACAGACATATGACATGATAAAAACACAGCCTATATAAAGTATGAATAATGTATGCACAGGGTAACATCCCCTTCAAAATCAGGAAGACATTGCATATATTTTAAGACTCAGGAGTGGTTACAGTGTATTAGGCTGAACTAGAATAGAATAAGCACAGGTACAGAACCAGCTAACAGGGATAACAAGTTATCAATCATTCCCCCTCCCCAGCAACACATCTTTCAGATACAGCTTTCCTGTAGCAAACAAATTCCTACAAGAGGGATCCTGTATTTAGATCTCAGTATTATCTGAATTCATCTATGAACAGTAACCAGGTGACTATTTCTTCAATGTCTTATTGCCTCAATGCTGAAAGTCACCCAACATTAGAATTACAACAATGTGCTTTCACTGTTTAAACACAAATGCATTTTTTTTCTTCAATTATATAGTCCTCTGTCAACAAGTCTTCCTGAACTTGTTGAGTGTCTTTACAAAATCAATATATATCAGGGTTCATAGCCACATTTTAGTTAAAGAAATAAGCACCTATAAGCACTTTTCAAGCACATTTTAAGGAAAAAATAAGCACCTGTCTAATTATATTATACACAACTGCATAACCTTAAAAGAAAAATTAGACTTGTAATTTAAAATATAAGCAATGCAATATTTATTAAGAAAATGAGCATTACCTCAACCATGGAAAACAACTTAAAAAAAAAAAAAAAAATTAAATGACAGTTCAATTTACAGAATTAGTTTACAGTGAGAAGAAAAAAAAAAAACTACTAAACTATATTACAAGATTTAATGATGAAATTTCAGTTCAAAATATAGAAAATAAATAATAATAAGCCATATCAATTGTATTCGTTTGGCACCTAATAAAAAATACAATTTATTTATCCACTCATATTAATATTTAAATAATTTAACTTAAATCAAAATTCTGAACAATTTCTAAATTTTCATTGCATAACAGTTTTCCCTTAACATATATTCCAAGCAAAGTAATTTAAGTAAAAAAGAGGCACATTTCTGAAATCAGAAGACGGGAAATTGCTTCATGCAGTCTCCTTTAACAGTAAAAGCTTAACTAACCCGCATACTCGGAATTTGCCAAATATTCCGGATAGTAACTGGAAAAAGAGGAGTTTGGTGAGATAGTAGCTGTTCTTTAGATTTCTTGGCTAAATAAATGATTTTGACATTTCGATATGTGCATCATATAAAAACAGACCAACGGAACTGAGAAATATTCTACTTAGAAAGCACAGAAAAACTCTTTTAAGTGTTCATAAACAAATCTCAGACGGAACATCAAAATTAATTATCTCTGCAAAATACCGCAAATGTTATTGCGCAATACGTGCGGCGTAATTCTTCCACATGTGATATTACGCAATCGGAATCAACAGCTGCCGGTATTCGGAGAATAAAGAACTAAATAAAGGAAAAGAAAGAGACTTACTAATTTGGGGTGTTTCTGATTCTAATTTTCAACAGACTGCGTTAAATTTCCGGAATAGAACCAATCTTTGCTTAGGTTGGGTAGACCGCAAAAACTTTTAGTCCTATTCAATCCAGATTGGACAGTGGTGGTGGTGGGGAATCTGCTGCTTCAATATTAGAGATTTTGCGGAGAAAGTGGATAACCTCCCAACCTCCCTACTGTATAATGTATTGGGGGGGGAAAGAAATTATTTTGACTATTCGATTACCTTCCTTTTATTTAAGCCATTCCGAATATTATTCCCTATAAAGCTAGTCTGTGTAAAAACACACCCATTTTTGGAAGTTTATCTATACTTCAGCAGTTACTGCAACTATATTATTATAAATATTCATGCATATACTCATAATATAAGCATAACGATCATAATAAACACGAATATGACCTGACCACGAGGAACGAGAATGTAAATTATTAAAATCTTGATAGAAATTCAAACGTGTGTAATATTTGGGTGGGAGGAAAAGAATACCGAATGTAACGGAATTTTCTACCATTTTTGCAATTCTTTGACCAAAAAAATGACGTGCACCTGTCTGTACTCTCGCGAGCACCATAGGTTACAGTAATGCAGAGAAAGGGGGAAAAAGCAATTTGTGGGAGTATGATTCACCATCTGACATTGCATATAAGGAAGAAAAGTTGTTTATTTAGTTTTGGCTTTGGTACAGGGAAAAAAATGCACGTTCATAAAAAAAAAAAAAAAAAAAAAAAAAAAAAAAAAAAAAAAAAAAAAAGCACTAAAAGCAAAAAATAAGCACTAAAAACAAAAAAAAATAAGGGCTTTAAAGAAAAAGTAAGCACCTATAAGCACTTTTACATTTTATTTTCAAATATAAGAACTTATAAGTACTTGTAAGGACCACTACGAACCCTGTATATATATATATTATGTAACAGTGGAAAGGAGATTAATTACCATATTTCAAAAATAATAATCTGCTCTGAATTTTTTTCCAGTTAATAAAAGCAAACAGTATAAATTTTTCCCCCAAAGAGCAACAATACTTATTCACATATTAGAGTTTTATTACTTATAAATATGTTCTTGATATAAAAAACGTTTACTTTCTAATACACTTCTATAAGATTAATGTTTAATTCAAGGGGTCTCAACCGGTGGTACGTGTACCACTAGTGGTACACAAGAGAAAAATAGGTGGTACACAAAGAAAAAGTATTTTTATCTATTAAATTCATAAATCTCGTGAAGAAAAAGAAAAGCTGATAAAAATTTCCTATGATCGAACTCGAACTGTAGATTTAAAAAATAATACACTTGTTAACTTTTGTTTGAACTGAAAAATAACTTTAAAGGCATTTCAAGTAAAGCTATTAAACTTTTAATCCCTTTTTGCACAACCTATTTGTGTGAACAAGGATTTTCTTCCATGTTATATTTAAAACTTAAATACAGAACACAATTAAAAGTGAATCCTAATTTGTGGTTAAAACTAAGTGAAATAAGATCAGACATGAAGAAACTTGACTCTCTTAAACAGGCCCAAATTTTGCACTAAATTTGAGAATTAAAGTACCGTATTTATGTGAATGTAATGCGCATCGTTTTTGGCCAAATGTAATATTCAAAATTGGGGTGCGCATTAGATTCGAGTGCAAAGTTCGCCGATGACGTCAACCAAATTTAAATCGTAACAATGGATTACTGTATTTGTCGACTAGATTTACCGTTACATTTATCGTTGACACATTATTGCATAGAGGATACAAACTGCAGAGTACGTAGTCACGAAAGGGAGGGCAAACAGAGGAGAATGTCATATGACGCTACTTTCAAATGTAAAGTAATTCTTTATGCTGAAAAAAATGGCAATAGAAAGGCAGGGGAGAGTTCAACGTAGTTGAGAGCAGTGTTCGCTCGTGGCGGTAACAGAAATTGGCACTGTTTGCAACTAAAGCTAGTAGAAAGAAATTCACTGGCTCTCGCAAAGGAAGACACCGTAAAATTGAAGAAAAAGTTTTGGAATTTGTACGTGAAAGGAAGAAAAATGAACAACCTGTGACTAGTGACACCATAAGAAATAAAGCAAAAGAGGAGGCTGAAGTTCTTGGAATACCGAAACAAGAGTTTAAGGCTAGCCGTGGATGGGTGGATCGGTTTATGAAGCGGATGGGCTTATCTCTAAGACGCCGTACAACAATATGCCAAAAGCTTCCTGCAGATTTTGAGGGAAAAACTACTAACATTTCAGCGGCATGTCATTCACACTTCGGAAGGAAAAGAATTTTTCAATGGGGCAAATTGGCAACGCTGACGAGACGCCAATTTCGGTCTTGATATGCCTCATTTAACTACACCATTACGGAGAAGGGGACTAAGGAAGTTATCATTAAAACTTGGGGATGTGTAAAACAACGCGTAACAGTGATGCTGGCAATAACAGCAGACGGGTGCAAACTTCCCCTTTTCTTAATCTTCAAACGGAAAACAAGCCTTAAAACCCCTAAGAATGAAAAGCTGTTCCCAGATGATGTCCTGATTCGAAACCAAGAGAAGGGGTGGATGACGGAATCATTAATGCTTGATTGGCTCCGAAATATATGGGAACGCCATCCCGGTGGGCTCTTCAATCCACCATCAATGCTTTGTCTGGACGCATTTCGTGGTTATCTCATCGACGACGTGAAAAAGAACACGCGCAGCCTAGGCAGTGATCTTGTAATCATTCCTGGAGGGATGACGTCTGTGTTATACAACCACTGGACGTTAGTATAAAAAAACCTTTTAAGAGGTGCGTTCAGCGGAGTACGAAAAATGGTTTGTGAGCCAAACCGTGAATTGACCCCGATAGGAAAAATTCAGCGTACTGCACCGCACATTGTTGCACACTGGGTTTCTGCTGCCTGGAAAAGCATCGAAGATCCAATGATTGCGAAATCTTTCAAGAAATGCTGCATTTCAAATTCATTGAATGGCAGTGAAGATGACGTGCTCTGGAATGCCGAGGATGACGATGAGGAAAGAAGAAATGAATCTGCTTCTGACGAAGAGAGCTGCGAGGATTCCAGTGATGAAAACATTAGTGAATAAAGACGATTACTATTAATCACGGTTTGTAGAAACTGCTAGCTATAGAAATGTTACGATTTATTTCATGTTCATATTTTACGATAGATACCATATATACGGTAGTGGTAATTACGATAGATACCATATATACGGTAGTGTGGTACGATAGATACCATATATACGGTAGTGGCGCATTAGATTCGCATAAATACGGTAGTATAACTTAAATTTTGATAATAAAAATAGTAACCCATTTTTAATGTAATGTAATATATTTTTTATTTATGCATGTTTAATACAAATAGCCAATAGGTTGTGCAAATGGCAAAATATATTTATTTTTAATATTTCTATTGAGAAATTGAAAAATAAATATTGTAAAATGTAGCGGTGGTACTTCAGTTTTTATTTAGATGATATGCGTTAGTCGAAAGGTTGAGAACCGCTGGTTTAGTTCATATTTATGCATCAATAGCCAATGTTCTACTCATATCCCATCATACAGAATTATGCATGACACAAACACAAAACTCATATTTTAATGTCAAAAATTTCTTTTAAACAGTCACTTTAAAAAAGCTGTAGATGAGATTCCTACATATTCGTACATAAAAATGCAGAATATTATGAGAAAACATGCTGCATTGCATTTTAACGCATAAAATACAATGATACACATGTGCACACAGATATATATAACCTCAGTGTTTGTATCATAAAAGGATATCATTATTAAATAAGTTCTTTTCACATGAACAATGATTAATTTTCATAGTATACTTTATTCTGATATTTGGCCATCTACTAAATAAAGCATAATCATTTGGAAACTTGAATTTTAAGATAAAATAATTAGTATCTAAAGCTTTAGATGCAAAAATTTCATTAAGCAAGTTTTCTGTTATACATCAATAATGATTACAAGGTGGGATATTCAAAAAGAGTGAAAAAAGTCAGAATATATATTAAAAACAATATTGCAAGTAAAATACTTCAAATACTGCAAAGCCTACACAAAAAGTACTATAAGTCACAACAACACAAGTAAATTACCTTAATGCACAGACAATAGATATTCAACAAATCATTTAAAAAAGAGGAAAGAAAAACTTTTATTTCCAGCCGTCATATTTTTAAATACATAATCAAGACTTTTTAAAACGACTCAATTATATGACCATCATAATAAAAATTCATGCTTTTGGGGTACAGTTAGAGTTAAAAAAAACTATGCTTCTAAAGAATTAATATACATAAAATATCACGTCTATTATAATTTTTCTTTACAAACTTAATGAAATACCCACTCTGTTTTTCCATTTTTATATACATATTTGAGTGCAACTTCAAAATCCCACATAAAAAACACTTATATAACTTCAAATTTAAAAAATACAAATCATAAACATTTCAAATATTTAAATATTCATTTATGTGTACATTTAAACACATACTTCTGCAATTATGGAAGACTACTATAATACAAAAACAGGAGCCAAAACTAATAAACTCTGGGATAATTTTTATGCAAAATTATGTACATAACATCTGTAATACTAATAATTTGAGCAAACTTAACAAATACTGATAAACTTCAACAAAATGGAAAAGTATACATAACGAAGAGATAATTTTCATACCATTATTTTATTTATCAATTACTTTAATGAGTTATTTCTATAGCATTATTTTTTGAAAATGATAGAAAAGTAATTTTTGGAATGGATGATTGAAATCCAAGAATTGAAATACAGTCAAAAGTCGTTAATCCTGACTCGTCGGGACTTCGGCGATTCCGGATTATCGATTTTTCCGGATTCTAGATCATCAGTTTAAATCTCGTAAGATGGCATGCAGAAATTCTAAAATTAAAAATATGAAACCATAATTTATGAAATAAAGAACAATTATGATCTAAAAGGGTATCAAAATTTACAAAAAAAAATATTTATTTGTTTACTTTATTAAATATTTCTTTCAATGTAAGTTGTTTAAGTTGCTTCGTTTTATGTGATAATATTTTCTCTTTAATTCTATAAACAGACATAATTTCTTGAGTTACAAAGTTCCGCTGTTCAAGTCCCGTAATTGCTGTGCCGAGAATACAGACTAACTTGTCAATCAAAATTTTTTCGTTTCAGTAACCTCTCTGTCACCTTCTTCATTCATGTTTTATCCATTTTTTGCAGCAATTCCACTTTTTGTTTGACGGACATCGAAACATACTTTCGTTTTGTAGATCCTTTGGGAGCTCCAGCATCGGAAATTCTATTTGACATAATCAAAAGTTCAAGTTTACTTTTATAAAATTGTTCTTACAGTCTGCAAAAAATAATAAGTGCATCCAATTCGAAGATTAAGGAACAACGCAATCATCAACATTAAGTGAAATAGATAATTAGATCATTTTAGCTTATACCGCCCGTTATACATTAAAATGTATTCTGCGCTTGTGCACATGCATGTGCACAGTCGTAAAGGTTTACGCGCACCCGTAAACGCCTTTGCACATGTGTCAACGCGGCGCATGCGCAGAAAGTTTTTAGCTTTGAGGTCCGAATTAACGACTTTTGACTGTATTCACATTTAGACAATCTACAATAATCACATTAGACATCAACCACTCATTATAATAGCCCATTTGAATAATAGTACTAATCAAATACACTAATATTCTTCGGTACGTACATATCATCCATATACATATAAACAACATTTGAATTATTCTTGTATATCTATGTACATGATATATCAAGTTTTGCTAGAAATAGGAAACATGAGAACCTTCGCTCGCATAAAAGATAAGTCTGGCAGTTGGTCCAAAACATGTGTTGCTTCTGCACTTAAATCTGATGGACGGTGGGCAAAGTTAGAGTTGGGAAGAGAACTAACATTTTTGGAAAGCAGTTGTTCAAGGATTTGAGGTTTACTACTACTTTCAGAGCATGTAAGAATGGGACTAGGTTTTAGGAATTCATTTTCAAAGCCTAAAAAGTAAATAAAAAAAAATAATAAATACAATTCATATTCATAGTGTAATTATTATACTGCATTTTAAGATAATAATTAGAGGTTCAGTGGATGTCCTACATACATTTATTATCCAAGGCCACATGCTGTATATTCTGGCAACTGCCACTTACTTTATCCATTGGTCAATTAAATATGGTTAACATAAATGTGTCTATTTTTTTATTATTTATTTATTTCACAGCTTGCACTGAACTTTTATTGCTGTAAAATATCCCCAAAATATTTCTTAATCTAAAACATAGAACAAAAATTTGTTTCATAGCTAAAATTTTCAGTTTTATAACGTAGCAAATGCTTCTTAACTAAGGATTCATATTTTTGGTCACTTTCAGAAATGGGGAAAAAATAAATAAATAAATAAAATAAAATAAAATAAAATTGCAGGGTTAAAAAGGAGGTTTTCCCCACAGTACACACACTTCAGAAAACTAGGTATTGTTATACATGCTACTTCCTGATGAAAAGAAATGTTTTTCCAACTATTTTAGACACATTATGATAATTAACCACACTCATTTTCTCCCGGCTGAATACTGATATTTCTCTTTCTATAATTCAGGTAAGTTTTTAATTACTGAATAAAATTAATGAATCATCTGCTTAAACACCTCTATTTAAAGTAAGGCTACTTGTATAAAACAAACCCAAGAAGATTAATTGATCTCATTAAAGCAGTAAGAATTTCTGTTATTTGAAAGATATCTATTAATAATGATCTGTCATTCACTCCAGGAGAATTTTAACTAGGAATTTTTTATTTTCATTACTGAGAATGAAATATTTTTTAGCCACTTAATCTCGAACCTTATTGCAAAATGAAGGAAATGATAATAATAGTAGTAACCCTCCCCCCCAAAAAACACTACTTTAAGGTGACACCCATGAAGTCAAGTGATTGTAGTGTAATGGAGTAGGTCATTTTAAACAGGAAATGTTCAATGCCAATATTCATTTATGTTATCAAAAATACAATTACAATTACAAAAATACAGGTGGTCATTTACCAAAAAATGGCCATCAAGAGAGCATTCACTGCTGCTGCAATTGAAAAGTGTTCATTCAGTTGCCATTGAGAAATATTTGTTTATACTTCCTTTCAATATGTCTTCCATTGTTTCAATATATATAATTCATAATTTCATGGTTTCAATACAATGATATATGGTTCAATATCAAATAATTCAAAAACTTCAATAATTCATTTCAAATAGTGATTTAATGCCATTTTTATTCAAGAATGGCTTCAGAAATTACTGATTTTGATGATTTTGCTTCTTTTGTTATCACTTCCACTGGTCTTTTTTCTTCAAAAGGTGCATGTACACAGTTTTTTTTTTTTTTTTACATTTTTACAAGTAACTATCAATACCTGAAATGCTTAAAACTTCATTGCATTCAGTACCATATAAAGGTGGAGCTATCACATTCAATATATTTCAAAAATGCTGCATGAATTCCAGTATTATTTTAAACAATTTGCATGCTATGAAAACACAAACAGTAACATTGCCCCAACATTGTGCTGTTAGACATCTCTCTAAGAAGAAGATCACAGATTGAAAATTCTATTAAAATGCTGCCCACCAGCGGCCGAGTGATAAAGACGCTGAATACTAGTAGTTCGGTCTGAGGTTCGAATCCCGTGAACGGGCTGGCTGCATGGGCATTTTCGTGGTTTTCAACATGTGTAATCTGTATATGAGCCAGTTTTCCTTAGAAAGTCCTCCACAAAGGCATCTCTCCCTTTAGGCAGATAGCCCTCATATGCTTTGCCATAATTGAATAATCCCTAATCCCTATTAAAATGCTTTTACAAGAACTAACCAAACTTTGTATACTTATAAGCAAACATGATATGCCGCTTCAGCAGAAAAGGATTGTTTTTGAAATTTACGAAACCAGTTTAAGAATGTTTTACACTTGAATTGCAATAAGAAAAATTATTATCCAAAAAATTAATGTAACCATGTTTGTTGTTCGGAAACTACTTCTACTGTTAAATAACACGATCAAAAAGAAGGAGATTTTTGTTTAACCTAACTACATTACACTTACATATTTAATTTTTTTTTAATCTAACTACGTTACAGCTACATACAGAGGGCTTTCACATATTTTTAGAATGATTTTGATATGGAATTTAAAAAAGGCAAATGTTTTGAAATACAACTTTCTAGCAACAGCTTATAGTTTGAAATGAGAAATACTGTCTGCTATTTTTAAGTTTATTCTTCTTTCAAAATGTTGCATGTAAACAATTTGTGGCTAGAAGGATATCCATAGTTCAAAAACATTGTGAAATGCATGGTATAAAAATTTCTGAATGTAAAATAAACAAACATTATTAATCGGAAAAGTAAAAACTGTCAATCATTACTTCCATGTGCCAAAAAAGTATGTACTAGTTCTAATGTTTCTAAAGTTAAACCATTGGTAACAAGAGAAAATATGCTGACACAGAAATGAATTGCAGAGTCTTTAAATACATCCATAGGAATAATAAATAAAATAATAAACTATGATTTAACAACTCATATAATTCGTGCAGGATCCTCATACAATGGGAAATTAAAAATAGAAGAGTCCAAAAAATGTTAAAATCAACTCGGTATACTATCAGGAGAAAGCTTTATGTCTGATACTTACAGAAGAAATTCCATTTCCAGACAAAGCAACAAGTCATACTTCGAAAAGTACACTCTACATGCACACAAAAAAAAGGCGCAGTTCTGTAATTCCTGTTCCAATTTACGACAAAAGCACAACTTAGAATATACATTAAATTTTTACATATAGCACTGGTAGATTTATATATATAGCACTGGTCTAACACAGGTATTTTGAAACAAAATACCTATGTGTCACACTCTTCTGAAATGACATACTGATTTTTTTTTCCATACTTTGATTCTATGACTCAAATTATGCCCAAATGCCAAGTTTTGTAAAAAATCGCACAAGCGGCTTTTAAAAAATCAGCTCTCAAAATTTCAGCTCCTCAATATTAATTGAACTCTCTTTTTATTAAACTTACATGATATCATCTTTCATAGTTCGGAATTTAGGTTTAATCCAAATAAAATTCGCAGATATTTTCTGATTTATTTTTTTTAATTTGTGTTTTTTTTATTAATTTTTATAAATTTTGGGGGAAAATGTTTAAATTATAAAATATAAAATTTATACTATCACCTTAAAGTAGATCTCAGCACACCCACCAAAAATTAGAGTTTTTTATTCAAAATTTCCAGGAATATACATGATTTTACACATTGATGCATTTTGAAATTTGGTCTATTTGTTATAAGCAATAACACCAAATGTGGTTTACGCAGTTTGTTAAATTTTATGAAAGAATGAACGATGCAACTGTTTGTCACTGATAGCAAAAAGCTAGATAATTTTTCCATTCACACACAATAAAAGGGAAATAGTCACCACAAACTAAGAATTTTGCTAAGTGAATTATTCTGGCCGCAAACAAAAAACGTGCACCAAGATAAATTTTTTAATTTCTCAGTAAATGTCTCACCAAATTTCAGAAAATGTAATATTTAGGCATGATTTGATTTGTAGAATCGAAATATTGAAAAAAATCAGTATGTCATTTCAGAAAAAAGTCTGTTTTTGTCTCAAAATACCCACGTCAGAACGATGCTGCATATAAATCTAATATATACCCTAAGTTGTGCTTTTGAGACATGAAAAATGCAAATTAAATTTCATCAATCAGCCCAGCAGAATGGGAGATATATAATTGTCCTTTTTGGGGGGATGTGCAGAGTGTACCACTTCATTCTTTGTAAAATGAAGATTGACATGTATTGTATATATACCTTTTCAACATATTTCTGCAAAGTCCTCTGATATTTTACCTATGGACTATTATGCTTTAGTCTCTACAAAGAGCTCTTTCTAAGTGCAAAAACCCACCATGATTGATGGACTCTGGAAAGTAGTGAAACAGGAATAGAAATCGAAAATCCCTTGGAAATTTTACAAAGAACCTTTCTACTGTGGAAATCGCGATTATAATCCAGAAAAAAAGGCTATCAGAGCTAACATTTAAAAAAGTACACTTTATATTTTAAATATTAATTAAATGGCCCCAAAATTCTTCTAAAATGTGTAAAAGCATTCTGTATTTAATTATTGATGGCAAACAGTTGAATCATTATGCTGGCAAAGAAGGGACAGATTCGGCCGTGTGATTATTGGCATGAAATTTTAGCACCCAATCTTTATAAATAGGCCATTTTTTAAAACAGAGTTGTAACTGACATCTTAGCACTTCTCCAGCTGAGAAGATAAAAAAATTCCTTCCACCCTTACTGTGCAAGATACCCTAAAATATGCGGAAACATCGAAATTATGCCAAATTTTTTCGCATTTTACCTGGAATATGGTCATCTAGTTAATGATATTTAGAAACAGGTACCTTTTCATCCAATCGCACATTATAATTTTTCTCTGTATGAAGAACAGGTATTTAGACATCAGTGAAAAGTCCGATGGTTGATTGCGTTATAGTAACAGATGGTAATAAAAAGAAACACAGAGGAAATCCAGTTCTTGTTCCAGTTTTGAGTCACTACGGAACGGTACTTTTTAACTGCTATATGATGTTCATTGTATGATCAACCTAATGGGCTCCTAAAGCTGATTCTTATATTGACACTAATAAGACTGCATATGAATATGAAGTTGGAGAATACCATCCAAGCTAATTATTACATGGAGCATAAATTAAAGTCCATTCACCTTATCACATCCAATCCCTATGAGTGAAAGATGGTTGCTCACCTTAGGAAATATATCTTCTGTTTGACTCATCAGATTTTGCTCATTGCACTTAATGGCTAGGCTAAGAAAGGAAGGCATGAAATTTTCTCCTTGCTTATGAAAAAGTGTCATTGCTGATGTTTGAAAGAAAACACATTAATTACTATGTTAGTAAAACTTATTAGCATAGTATTTTGTGTTTAAATATGCTAAAAGACAAGGACAAACCGAACTCCTGGGACTCCTTCTGAAGAAATTCATGTGTGTGTGCATTCATATGCTCCCAGCATTGTGGTCAATGCTAGGCACAATTTTATGCAAAAGTTCGCCTGTGGTTTAAGAAAAGGTTATTTATCTGTAATGCATAAAGTGTGCTTCTCAGGGAAAAAAGGAGAGGGGGGTCAAACTGATTGTTCATAATCAAGTGTGTCAGGCTGACTTACTTTATGTGGACTCAAAGTATTCCAGCCTTATTTATATAAATTTAGTGACTTCTAATAATAGATTCGATACATTTCTAAGTATTATTCATAAATTTCAAAACTGTTTTACACAGAATTCAGTTACAATAAATTTCACATCTGAATACAAATTTCTATATTATATTTTGCGCTTATATTTTGCAGTATTATTTTGAGAACTGCCAGTTGTGCTGAATGGTGCAGAAATTACTTTATTTTTCTCAAACCTATTTTTAACAATGGAAGTATTGACTACAAATCCATTTACTTTAGGTATTTTATAACTTTCAATAGAGCCTTTTATCTTAACTCTCGAAGAATTTACTTCTTCTTTAAAAAATGCAAGAAGCAGTTCCATTGATCGAGAATTCTAGATAAGCATTTCTTTAAAGACAGCCAGCGTGTACACACGTTTCAAAATTTTTCCCATTTCAGTATTATGCAGCTGTTGGAACTGTTTCAATTTTCCCTTCCTTTTAGGACTCCTTTCAAGATAATAATAAATATCAACAATGTGTTCATACACATTTATTGGTAAAGAAGCTGCCCCTTTTTCAGCTGCTAAATTTAAGAGGTGACAAGTGCACCTCATAATCTGCAAATCTGAATTTTCCTTTCTTAAGATGCCTGCAACACCAGTCTTCAAGCCTACCATTACTGGTGCATTATTGGCACCAAGTGCTAAGCAATTATCCAGAGGGACTGCATTTTCTTTTACAGTTTTAATAATTAGCTGTGTTATATTAAAGCCTGTCAAATGTCCTTCTAAAGTGGAGACAGAAAGTAAACTTCACTCAATTTCTGAAGACTCTGGAAAAAAAAGAAACAACAATTGGATACAGTTTTGAATCGGTATTTTTGCTTCTATCCATAGAGAGACAGAACAGAGCTGCTTTAATGCAATCAATAACTGAAGATTTATTTTTCAAATCCATTTATTTAACAAATGCACCTGCTTTGGTCCTTGCACTTGAGTATTTCTTAGTGATTTCACTATCGGGGAAACATTTTTCTAAATAAAGCTGCAGTGTGATCCGATGCACTCAGTCGCAAGTTGTGCTCCAGTAAAAACGCAAAGAACAGACATTCTGCATTAATCACTTTTTGCTTTTTGTTTCCGATGAAATATTTAATTTTTTGTTTTTCTCAAAACAACTCATGTTGTCTTTGTGTTTCTGTGTACGCAATGTTTGAGAACATCCGCCCTTCCACCATGCGAAATCGAAAAATCGCAATGACAGACGGTAAACATTGCAAATTTATTACATTTCCTTGAGGAAATAATGGAAGGAAAGTCAACTGTGTACGATTTTTGAAACATACACAAGTATTTCACCTTTCTCGCAGACATAACAAAAGATGATAATTTCTAAAACTATTTCCCGAAGGCACGTGTACTCACACAACTCAGGACAAGATGAACGAAATAACTAAAGAACATCCAAATAACAGCCTTGAGCTTGCTTTGTGCTCATTGGCTAATATATACCAGATGACACGCAAAGGAGCTCGATGCCGATTGGAGAACAACGTATGCTCTCACTCACAAAGCAGAAATTCTCATCTGATTCGCAAGGTTTTGTTTTAGATATAATCTAGATAAAATTCAATTGCTTTCAGATGTCCAAAATCCTTTTTTTTTTTTTTTTTTTGTTCATATAACAAAGTATTAAGCCAAGTTCCATAAAATTCATGAGAAATTTTAAGAATAAGAAAAAAGTCAGGAGAAATATATTGTAAATCGGGTTGGTGGGAGAGCAGTCGAAAATCGGGAGAGTTTCCAACTCTGCATATGAAGTTAAAGTTACTTTATGGCAGTATAAATATTACATACACAGGTAATTACAAATAAATATTGTTTTGAAATAAAAAAGTTCAATTTTAATATTTTTTTGCATGGATTTGGCTTGGGTTTGGTTAAACTGATTACAACAAAGCACACAGCTGTCTAAAGGAAGAGATGCCTCTGTAGAGGACTTTCTTAGGGAAATAGGGCCCATACATATATTACACATGGGGAAAAATATGAAAACTTCCACACAGCCAGCATGTTTGCCAAGAATCGAACCCTAATGTAGTACCAGTGTTCAGTGACCTTTTTCACTAAACTACCGGTTTGCTATTTTTACATGAAAGCCTGTACCTCAACCTACTTTTCAATAAAATTACTACCAATATTAAAGCACTTGTCAACAGTAGATTAAGACAGTTAAAAATTAAATAAAATTTAATATGAAAAACCACTTTTAATATCATTAGGGATAGGAGAATGGAATTTTCTCAATTTAAGTTTCCTTAATTCAGTAAATTCATGGGGAATTATTGCTGGGAAAAATTTTTATAAATGCTAAAACTTTAAAAGTGGAAAATTCAACTATTAGAAAAGTCGTAAATGTGATAAAAAAAAAACTAGAAAAGGTGGCAGTTAAGCAGGAATGGGGTAGAAAAAAAGGGAGAAAAACGCAGAGAAACATGCCAGTGAAAAATTTTACATTAGGTAAAAAAAGCCAATCATGGGTTTGCATATATTTAAAATAAAACTCTATTTATTTCAAGGATGATCAGACACAGGTCGTCTTCCTCGAAGGCAAGGTATGACTGCACTCAAGAGAGTGAGTTTCACCAAGATCTACATCAAATATTTTTGGGCCTAATTTTGAATATAATCAGATAAACATCTACACATATTATCTCAGAAATGATTAATTATGATCTTCCAGCTTCTTCCAATTATGTTCACAAATCCCATAATTTGAAAAATGTTTTTAATAGCATACAGTTTTCTGAATATCACTGATAATTATGTGAAACACAATTTATCATACTAAATAGCTTCCTCTTACCTGCAGTTATTTATTTTACAGCTAAATGAAAAGTAATAAATTCAGTTAAGATATATTTCTATGGTTTTGAATATAAATGCCAAAAAAAACATCACAACTGTTTCTCTAGTATATCTGCTTTCCCATAAATACACTCACGTTTGTGAAAATTGCAACACCAAGAAGGAATCGTCATAATTGAATGCAATTTAATACACAGTTGAGTGGTAGTGGTACAAATAAATGATTAAATGTTCAAAGCAAACAAACAAAAACAAGAGATCAGAATCAGTATTTTGTGAGGCCACCACGCGCTGCAATAAGTGCTGCTACACGACGTGGCATGGAGTCAAACAAAGTTTGAATGTCTGACTGAGGAAGAGCATTCCATATCGTTTGTACGCGTACCCAAAGTTCGTCTGCAGACGCAACAGGACGAGGATCACGAGCAAGACGCCGACCAATGACATCCCACACATGTTCAATTGGCGACATATCCGGGGAACACGCAGGCCAAGGAAGAAGCTGTACCTGCTGCGCTGCAAAGAAGGATTTAACAATCCGAGCAGTATGAGGGCGAGCATTGTCCTGTTGAAATACAGCACCTGGCAAGCTTTGAAGGAAGGGAACAGCTTCGGGCTGTAGAACTTCACGGATATACCGGTTGCTGTTCAGATTGCCCACAATTCGTAGCAATTGAGATCGTCTATGATATGCTATGGCGCCCCAGACCATAACTCCGGGTGTTTGTCCACTGTGGCGTTCGATAATGCACTCCAGAAGGTGGCGTTCACCGGCATAGCGTCTGACACGAATGCGGCCATCATGGTACCACAAATTAAAGCGGGATTTGTCAGAAAACACGACATGCTGCCAATCAGCACGCCAGTCTCTATGCTGATTGGCCCATTGTAGCCGCAGGCGGCGATGGTCGTGCGTTAGGGGGATCCTGTATAAAGGAGTCCGTGCGCGCAATCCACACTGCAGCAGACGTCTACGAATTGATGAAGCACACAATGAAACACCTGTAGCTATTGACCACAGTGCTGCCAATTGTCTAGAGGAAGCTGTACGGTCCGTCCGCGCCATGCGGACCAGGTGTCTATCATCGCGAGCTGACGTCACATTTCGGGGTCCACTCCCGGATTTCCGAGTTGTCCGACACTCGTCCATCCACTGCTTCCAAACGCGCATCACTGTGCTGCTGTTACGCTGCACACGAGAGGCTACTGCACGATACGACAATCCAGCTTCACGAAGGCCGATGATTCTCCCTCGTTCAAACTCTGTAAGTTGTTCAAATCTCGCTCTCTTTCGTCGACGAGGCATAAGTACAGATTGAGTTAACGTTTACCACTAGCAGATAACCACCGATAACCATACACGCCTCGCTACAGCCGTCTATTTATTCGGATCCATCAGCCGTTCAGAGGGCGCTGCTCAGCATACACATGCGCTACGGATTTGCAATTCTAATCATTTGCATATCATGCGCTACTTTGCATTTCCTGAAAATTTCAGCTCACTCGCGTAAGTCCTTCATGGTGTTGCAATTTTCACAAACGTGAGTGTATATAATTTAAATGATATAATATCAATAACTATTATAAAAACAAAAACAAACTTACTGTGATTACTAACAGCTGATGAGGTGGGAGTTTCAGTAGAAGACAGAAAAGAGAGGTCCATGAGTGTTGACACAGCTTGCCCAGAATCTAAAGGATTTACAAGTCCACTGCTGTTCCAGTCAAACTCTACAGGAGGAATGGGGTCCTATACAGCAAAGGAATAAATATAATTAATGATCAACAACAACACAAGAATACACATTAAATGTGTACAGTATAAAGTCTGCAATCCGGAATCGTCGAGACTTTGGAGATTCCGGATTTGGGATTTTTCCAGATCCATAATTTGAAAAACGTTTTCTGAATATCATTGATAATTATGTGAAACACAATTAGATCATCAGTTTAAATCTAGTAAGATCGCATGTAGAAATTATTAAATTAAAACATGAAATCGTGATTTATGAAATAATGAAGTGAAGTATTTATGATCTAAAGGGCATCAAAATTTACAAAAAAAAAAAAAAAAAAAAAAAAAAAGCTTAATATTTACCTTATTAAACATTTCTTTCAATGTAAGTTGTTTAAGTTGCTTCGTTTTTTGTGCTAACACTTTCTATTAATTCTGTAAACATACATAATCTCTTGTTCAGTTACATTGTTGAAGTCCTGTAACTGCTGTTTTGAGAATTCTGACTAACTTGTCAATCGAAATTTTCTCGTTTTCAGTAACTTATCTGTTACTTTCTTCACTATCAGTAGTACTATTTTCTGGATCTACTACAGATTTCGCCATTCATTGATTGATTGATGATTGAGAAGCATTGTCATCACAATGAAAAATTTCTTTTGTATCATCTTCATTTATTACCCGTTAACTGACCATATCCGAAATCTTTGTTTCATTAAATCAAAATCCTTCACTATACATAATATTTGGCTATGCATCATGAGCTTGGCGACTAACAGCAAGTTGCTCCGTTAACTTTTATCCTGCTTCTATCGTGTACTGAGACAATTAAGCCTGAATTGTATTACTTTAGTATTGTATTTTAATTATTTTAATGCAGATTAAACATGTTTCATCATTATTTAGCAGCAAACTCTTGCATTTTAAACCTGCACATATGTATTGATAAAAACTTAAACCATTTTATCAATTTTTTTTTCCAACAATAAATTAAAGATAATAGCTAAGCTATAAATAAAAATGTACAATGAGTTTCTATATCATTAATAATCTATAACATACTCATTTTAAAAGAGAAAAGTTTATCTCTAATCAGTACTATAATACAAAAAAAAAAAAAAAAAAAATAAGATTATGAAATGTTATATTTGATAATTTTTAAGACTTGAGATAGACTGGAACACTTATCAGCATGGAATCAACTAGAATTACATTAAAAATGTTTCCCCAAGGTAAAAATAACATAAAAGTTCAGATTGTTTAAGCATTCTTAAACTGATCATTAAAAGAAACGAAAAGGAAAGCCAGTGCTAAGGTGAGGCAGTTAAGACAAATATTACCTTACCAGTTTGCTAAGATTTTCAGTTTTGCAAAATGATGGCAAATAAGTTGGTTATTTTGTCAAAATGATAACATGGAATTAATGTACTATTAATACAAACAGTTTCAATTTAATACTTACTCGAGGACTACTCTGATTTCTATCTTCTGGCTCCTGGTTAGCTGAACTTGTTTGACCCTTTATTGGTTCTAGCAGACTCAAACTTGAAGCGAAAATTGGGACGGAGGACGTGCGCAACTAAATGAAAACGAAGAAAAATCTGTTTTTTCAAACAATATAGATTATTACAAATTTACATAAATTTAAAAATCATAATTAGAAGATTCTGAGAATGCATAAAGCTTACCTTTCTCAAATAAAAAAAGACAGGTTATAGAAGGCAACAAAATATATTAGTATAAGGCAGGAAAACACACAAAAATGATCCTAATAAAACATATAATGACAAACGGAATTCATGATATTCTTTTTCATAGCCATATCGCAGAAATGATTCTCTTTATTGTGTAATTATTAATACTGACTTTTCCTCTCAAAAAACATGAAATTTTAAACATTCACAAAGACCAAATGTGTGCATTACATTTGAAAGTTAACAACTATTTTTTAAGTATGTAACCAGAATGACTTCAAAGTTTCAGAGGAAGATTTGATTCACTTCAGAACGTAGACTTCAATTGCAACAAAAAGTTCATAGTAAAGACTAACTATGCAGCAGCTAAAAACAAGATGTACAAAAAAGGCTGTAAAAATTAAACGCATGTTTAGCAGAATGATGTAAAGCAACAGAAATATTTACATTTACTAAATACCACCCTGATTAATGTGGCAGTTGATGGTACTGGCTATCATATTGTTGGACTCAAGTTCAAATCCTGAAGGCATGAATCATCTCTTTGTACATATATAGTTTCTTTATAGCACATGGCCTTTAAAATTTCGAGTTGAATATCTCCTTGAGTGGTCTCTGGTAGAGGAGGAAGGATAGAAGCCATTTGGTTTTCGGTTTCCCCGAGGTTTCCTCCATCAAACTCGGTTGGAGCTCGGCAAACTCATACTGTCCCCTATTGGTCTTGGTCAACAATTCATTTCTTGCTTTTGGCTTTGATAAATATATGTACCTAATCTGAATTATTAGTAACATCATTTATTATACATAATAGTTTTTTACATTGGAAAGATTTCACAGTTAAAGGGCACAGCTGTTTCTTCCCTTATAAGAAGATTCTAACTGTAACTAGGGGTTCACAGAAAATAATAACTATGGAATGTTTGAAATCATAAAATGTCTGTCCTGTCGCAGCAATAGTAAAAAATGTAAATTTTCTTGAATAGGCACAATAACAGTGCCAAATGAATTGTGACCATAAATGCTAATTTAAATAAAAAATGGAATTTAATCCCCCTTGACTGCCAAGTTTCTCAGTCATTACAAATTCAACATTTCAGCATTTTATGCAATCAAAATTCTTCCCCTTCAATATGAAGCTATCCTATCTATGTGATGCGCAATCAGTATTTCTATGTTTCAATGTCTGAGTGCTCCTACATCAGTACTTCTGAATGTTGCTTTCATCACATTTTAATTGGACAAATGCATCAAGAGCGAAATGGAACATTTATTCCCAATTTATTTTCAGTAAAATATTTAAGACATTCAAAAAGTATGCATTCAGTCCAAAATCCAAAAGTTGAAAAGTCTTGCTTCAGCCATCTTTACAATATTTAGAAGGGGGGGGAAAGAATGTGTGTTTTAAATCATGAAAGTGGTTTAACGCTTAGGAGATTTTAGCATTACACATAGTTCAAGGTCGTCAATCTACGCTTAACGTGGTTCAAGTACAGATGGAGGACAAAATAATGAGAACACCTGTGAAAAAGTATGACGTATTTCACAGCTGCAGTACAGAAGCGCCACCTGCAACAGAAGTCTGCCACCTTGTAAGTGTAAAGAGGAAGGTATCAGTCTCTCAACAGCAGTCACCTGTGTTGCATGCTTCGATCGAAATGTCTGTGACAAGTTGAACTGGCAGACCTGTCAGAGTTCCAAAGAGGAAATGATAGTTGAAATGCGTTTAAGTGGAGCATCGGTTACGGAAACAGCAAACCTTGTGGGGTGTGCAAGGAATACAGTTATGACAGCGTACAGGAAAGAGGGTAAGAAGACGTCTTTAAAGCACAACAGTGGCCAAAAGTCAAAGCTGGCTGATAGGGATAGATGAGTCTTGAAGCGCATAGTAGCTCGTAAGCACATGCAATCGTTATCTGAGATAACATGCGAAATGAACAGTCATCTCCAGCACCTCGTTTCAACAAAAACTGTCAAAAGGGAACTTCCTGCTGCGAACATTTATGGCAGAGTGGCAATTGGTAAACCCTTCGTGACAGGAACTAATGCTTTCAAGCGACGCCAATGGTGCAGAGATCACAAAGGCTGGCCCCACAGCAGTGGTAACAGGTAATATGGTCAGATGAATCGTCATTCACCTTTTTTCAGATGACCAGACACGTTTATGTCTGGAGAATGGCCAAAGAAGTGTTTCCTCCTGACTGCCTCTTACCGACTGTGAAGTGTGGAGGTAGTGCCACTATGGTATGGGGTGCAATATCTTGGCGCGGTCTTGGGCCCCTTGTTATTCTGCATAGGAGGATCACATCCAATCACTATCTAAGCATTCTACATGATCATGTCCATCCTTTTGTCCAGACTGTATTCCCTTGGGAACGACCGCTTTTTCAAGACGACAATGCCCCTATCCAAACTGCTAGGCATATTGAAGAATGGTTCGAAGAGCATGACGATGCAATTGAACATCTCGCTTGGCCCCCTCAATCTTCGGACTTGAATATTATTGAACATTTATGGGCATATTTGGAGTCCAAACTTCGTTCTCGATTTCCACCTCCATCTGGACTTTCGGAATTAGAGACCGCTCTGCAGGAGGAATGGCTTAATATTCCTTTAAATATTAAATAAATCCATGACCTTTAAGCATCTATCCCCAGTCGCATTCAATCTGTACTTCAGTCAAAGAGTAGTCTACCTCTCTATTAATAAAAATTTTCTATTATTTCATAGGTGTTCGTATTATTTTGTCTTCCATCTGTATGTGCAATAGAAAATTATTATTTGTACTTTTGCTTTCCTTAATAGCATTTTGTCAGATGAAAACTCAAAATTTTTTATCTTCGTGTGAATTGTTTTCCAATGAGACTTATAAGATTTTTTTATGAGACTTAAAAGGTACATTCTGCCTCCTTTCTGCATGCCTTTGTGGTGTAACTGCAGCACGCTTGGAGCATAATCGAGAGGTCCAAATTTGAGTTCTGGCGAGGGCAATGCACATTTTTCATGTCTCTTGCTTCAAAATAAGCTAATAGGTATTTCCTCCCTCCTTTCTGTATGCCTTCGTGAGGTAATTGGTAGCACACTCTGCACAAATTCAAGAGATCCAGGTTCAAGTCCTGAGGAGGGCAATGCTAATTTTTCATGTCTCCTGCAACAAAATAACCTAATATCTCTACAAGAAAAAATTATTAAATATGCTATGGACTCTACATTTTGCATAAAGTTTCTAAAATTTGATTGTGCTGTTTTAAGAATTTGAAATTATTGTTTAAAAGCTTTAACTATTCATAATTATGTGTGATATTATTTTAGGAAGGGATATTAATATCTTATATCTTAATATTTTTGAATTTATGTTGAAAATTTTGAATTGCTGATAAGAATTTTTAAAAAATAATAAGAAGAAAATAAATAAAAAGATTAAGAATAATAAGAAAAGAATAAAAGAAAATAAATTTGAAAAATTAGTATAGGATATGATAAAATATTAGTGCTTTTGAGTTTTACCATAGAAGAATTAAATGTTTTGATACAGAATAGTGTAATAACGCATAAAAATATGAGTAATTCAAGATATTTTTTTTAATATAATGGAGTGCAGTTAATTTTTTTAATATAATGTTATAGTGCAGTTAAAAAAGGTCAGATGCCCTTAAACAAGAGACGGAGGCCTATATTAGTAACTGCCGCAAGCATCTCTTTAACCATTGGTGAAAATTCATACACTAATTTGTTGATGTGGATTTTCTTAATAGATGGAAATGTTTATATTAAAAGAAAGCTGCGGGTCTTCCAGTTTGTATAAAATAAGTAAATTAGAATGTTGATATTCACAGAAAGCATAGTTTTAGTATCGATATTTCAACTTTTGTTTCGAATGATAAAATAATTAAATTATAATATTTTGAAATTTCTTATGATTTTGTAACATAATTAGCAGATGTATTTAAAATGTTTATATTTGAAAAGTTTTAAAAGTTTCCCTAAACAGATACAATTATGAAGTTTACCTATTTTCTTATTTTGTATTCAAAGAAATTATATATGGTCCATATTATTATTGTTCTAAGGCAGTGTAGAATTTTATTTATAAAACTAGCAGGCAAGCCCACCAGCTGAGCCTGCTTATCATTGTTCGTTTTTAAAGAATTCCCATGTTAAAATTCGCCGGTATTCGAAAGTTGGAGCGAACTACCAGTGTTCAGTGGTTTTGCGAGTGCTGCACCTGCTTTATTCACATATGCATTCAGAAGATACTGCACACACGTTACACATGAGGAAAATCAGGAAAACATCCATGCAGCCAGCCCGTTCCCCGGGATTCGAAAGTTGGACCGAACTGCCAGAGTTCAGCGGTTTTACACAGGCTTTGCCCGCTTTATTCTCGTATGCATCCAGAAGATACTGCATAGACGATACTCATGCAGAAAATCACGAAAGTATCCATGCAGCTAGCCCGCTCACTGGTATTCGAAAGATGGACTGAATTATCAGTGTTCAGCAGATTTGTGCGGGATTTATATTAAAAAATTATCTTGAATTACTCATATTTTTATGCATTATTACACTATTCTGTATCAAAACATTTAATTCTTCTATAGTAAAACTCAAAAGCACTATTATATTTTATCATATTCACGTATGACTCCAGAAGATACTGCCTACACGATAAACATGCCTAAAATCATGAAAACACCCATGCAGGTATTCGAAATGCACCCTGTCGCGGGTATTCAAAAGTTAGATTGAACTACCAGTGTTCAGCGGTTTTGAGCGGGCTGCGCACGCTTTCTTCACATATCCATCCAGAAGATACTGCATACATGATACACATGCATAGAATGACGAAAACACCGATGGAGCCAGCCCGTTCGATGGGATTCGAAAG